CAAATCAAGTTACGGAAGCCTGTGGGTGCCCAGCACCGAGAGCACGCGCCTGCTTTCCTAAGCCCATGTCCTCCAGCCTGACAAAAGCACAAGGAGCCATGCGATAGACTTTTCAAGTTTCCGGAAGCAATGCTGTGTGTGGATCACACCTCTCTGGAGAAAAGCAGTTTTTGTAGCAAGTGTTTTTATGAATTCTCAGTCTCCAAGGACGCTTTCTATCTCTCACCTGTGGCAAGATGACTTCTTAGTGTCTTCTTGTAATCTCACATTAGCATTTATCTGGTTGCCAGATGTCCCTGCATCTTCTCAGGCCTCCCCCCACCTCCAGACACCACCCAGGAATATGCAAGCACAATTTCCAAGAGCCCCTTGTGTGAAGAGGGATGAGACCAGACCAGCCCCTCCCTTGCCACTAGAGTCATTGCTTGACGATGGTAAAGATGCGGTTTTGCCCGTTTTGCCACAGTCTTTTTTCCCTTGTCATCTCTGTGTTGAGCGCTACAACACTTTGGGGGTTGGGAAGCCAACTTTTTTCTAAAACAGTGGAAGTTGAAGGGGTGTATCTCTTTTTGATTTGTTCAACTCCAGTGGAATGTTTTTAATGAAAAGACAGAGAAAATGTGTGTGATCCTTTAATAACACATCTCTATATAAAGTAGATATAGTTTATACCAAAATTATAACATAGATATATACAAAAATAGGTGCCTTTTTGATTAGCCTTGTTTGTCCACTATTGTCTGGGAAAGAAAAGCAAGCTTCTGCTTATCCTATAGTAATATTTTATTACACATGATTGGTATTTTTGCGGTGGGGAAGTAAGACGCTCCTGACAGGTATGAAGGGTGATAGCTGATTATTTTACTTCTAAAGGTTTAGGAATTTAGAAAATACTGACTCTTTCCACCAATTTTTGAATGGTTCTTTGTAGATTTATATATAGTTAAGCTGCATAAACATTAATTTTAGGCTTGAGATATAAAATACCTATATCATGAGGCTGAATTCATTACACAAGATGAAATTCACTTCACAAATTCATTATATCTTAGCTATTTGCTTCTGATCATCTAAAAGTGGCTGGAGTGTGCTTGTTTTGGGTAACGCGACATGGTGCCGAGAAAGCTTTAGTGAAGGAAGAAGCTATGTAAACAAGTGATAAATGAAAGTCTCCTTCCCAAGTATTCCTTGCCCATTAGGTCCTTCCCAGGCCGCTGTCAACTACCAATGATCCAAAAACTCATGACATTGTATAATGCTTCTGTGGTCATCATTCCAGGATGCTTAGGCTCCCGGAGTCCACAAGCCTGGAAGGGCCCCCAGGGCAAATCTCATCCCCAGTTGTCCATGTTACTTTAGTGTATTCATGGAAATTCCATGTTTTTGGTGTTAGATGTATGGAATTCGGTTTGCATAGTGTATACTTCTTTGTAATCCAGTGCTATTAAGAATGCTTTACTTAAAGGAAAAAAATCTGCATTGTAGTCCCATTCTTCAGTGTCCACACAAGGAATAGCTGAGCATCTTAGAAGCAGCAGCGAGTGTGTTCCAGGCATGGCGTGGAACAGTTTGGCCTTTGGCTTGTGATGAAAGTGCAAAATTGAATCACTGTGCAGTTTGGCTTTTATTTACTTTAAAATATGTAGAATTGTGGTTGATTAATTTGCAAGATTTTACTAACTTTGAGAGCTTACAGTTTTGAGGGAAACAATGTTTTTAAAATGAAGGGGCTCACAGAAGAAACAACCCAATGTAACTAATAGAATCTGGCTTTTGTTATGCAAATTGTTAACACCAGCTATTAAAATATATTTTAGTAGAAATGCTTTAATTCATGTTTTTTTCCTCTACACTGTGAATCTTGAAGCCTCGGTGGACTAGAGCGACATCATGCTGCCCAAAGGACTCACCTATGCAAACTAGTTCACATGCTAGTGGGTGTCACAGTAATCGGGTAATAAGGCATTACTTCCCTTACATTGAAATAACACGTTACGCCTAATATCATGTATGTACAGTGTAGTCACTCACAGACCCTTCAAGGCTACCAGAATCATTAGTATTATTATTTGTTTAAAGGCAAATCGCTGAATTATCTATTTGAACTACTGACCGATGTAATAACAGGAATGACGGAAGGATGTGTCAGCCATGGCTGCTGTGTGGTCACTGCAGGTGTCCTCCGGAGACAGAACTATGTTCTCAGATGCACTTTCTTCAGGGTATTATTTCTGTGTCTTCTTTCTGTATTTGTAAAACATTAGAACGCTTTAATTTCCTATCTACAACTTGGTTTGCCTAAATAAATGCGGGATATAAAAAATGGTTCCACTTCTTGGTTCTGATCTTGGTTTCTTGGAGCATGGGTGATTAAACTTTGGTTTCTTGGAGCATGGGTCATTGGTAATACCCTAGGTTTTAGGTTTATCGTGACAACGAACATCAAATCTCATCAAAGGAATATGTTGGCTTCAGTGCACTCGCATTGGTGAGTCATTCAAAATGAGGCTTCCTCTCCCAATGGGCTTAGTTTTAAATGATAGAAATATTACGCTTCTTAACGCTCAGTATCTTTCTGATTTTATATCAAAATATCACAATGGTACTTCCTTGTAGTTCACTTCTTTCAAGATTAAATTCCTCATGTGTCCTCAGTAATACAATTTTAATTTTCTTGAATTTGTCAGATGAAAGAAACAGTTTGGAGCAAAGAATTAAAAAAATGCACAAACTTAGTACATGAAACGGGAAGATGCTGTAATTTTTTAGCTAAGAATCACTCGTAACCATAGAACATAATTGCTCCCCTCCCCCTAATTTTCCCATAGTTGGAAAAAACGAGTCAGTCCCTATTTTTATCCTCATAAAATCTGTTGAGACTAGAACCTTACCTTTTGGATATTATTTTATAAAAGTTCCTTTTTGATGGTGCATTAGCTTTCCTAATTATGAACTGATAAACGTTGCAGCTGACACATTGAGGACACTTGCTGATAGAATAAACACTTCTTTCTAATCTTGAACTTTGTGGGTTTTTATATTCTAAAAGTATGAAATGAATATGTGTATGAACGATAGTAATCATCAAACATACTGATGACATTTCAAATTACAAGGTAACTTATTTATTTATTTGAATAATTTACTATCTTTTCCTATCTCCAAGATTTTTCCCCTTTCCATGATAATAAACTTTCTTTTTGGAACCCAAGCCACAGATAAATAAATAACCCAGCAAGATATTTTTCTAAACTAAACTAATTTAGATTTAGAATATACCATGCTGATAATTTTATTAACTTAAAAATCTGTGAAGATAAGTAATTGAAGACATACATGATCACCAGAAGCCTACAAAAATAACTTTAAAAAATATTCAGACTTAAAAACTACATAAAAGGGAAGTTTTGTTCCCTTCTTTATGTAATTTGCTTCTCCTACACAGGGTTGAATAAGAGTTTTGTGACTGCAGAAAACCGGATATGGCCCAAGTGGGAACTTCATCTACTTTCTACAGTTCTGAACAAAATTCTCTGGCCCTTGTCTATTATATTTGTATTTGGGCACAGCAGAGTTCTGATGAAAAATAGGATGAAAAGATAGATTAAAAGGGTGAAAAGTCAATATTAGAACAGAGGGCCCAGTTACTGATTTTGTGTGTAAACCATGGCATTTTGATCTTTGCCACTTTTCACTTTTCTTTTTTTAGTAGCAAACATGAAAGAGGATAGTAGAGTAAAATAGAGAAAGCAAAATCTGAATTCCAGTTATTCCTCTTGAAAAAATAAGTCACTTTGCTGCACCTCAAATTTAGTTATTAAGTGGTTCTATCAGTGAACTAGTTTCTTGTTCTTGACCCTAGTTTCTTGTTATTTCCTTTTCCCAGAGGTTTGCTATCCAAGGCCATGAGGCCCAAATTAACTTTATTTTTCTTTGTCACTCCTCTGGTGACAGCTGGCTGGATCCAGGTGACTGATTTATAGACTTACCTGGTGCCTTTGATGGGGGCTGCACAAGAACATTGCCTAACAGGGATGATGGTGACTCAGCCTGGTCTGAAGACCTGAGTTCACAAGATGGAGCAAGGTATCTAACTGGTTGTATTAGTAAAAGCTGAACGACAAAGGAAAAGAAGAAGGAAGTCAGGAGTAAGTATGATGTGAGTGAGCAGAAAGCATCAATAAGAGCAAGCCATGAGAGGGGGAAATATATTTAGAATAGACGGAGTAAAAAGTAAAGTAGATGGTCAAGAGTGGCAGGAACCGCTAAACACAGAAGGAAATGGATTCTTGTGATGGTGGCTCCTGTGGTAGGCAGCCCCGACGCCTGCTGCCCAGGGTGTGCCCACACTCCATGTCAGATGCAAAGCCGTCCTGCTGACGCTGCGAGGCCACCTCCTCTTGACAAGGAACACATTTCATGAATGATGGGAAGATCTGCACCCAAACAAAACAGTCAAATGTGATTGAAATGTCAACATATTATTACAGTTCAAATGTCCCAAAGACGTCTTAAGTCTCCTTTTATGATATATTATACTTTCTATATCTTGTTGAAAATCAACTTTAGTTAGAAATTGTTTCCCTGGGCCCTAGAAAGAGTATGCATAATTAATATCAAACAAATTTAACTTCAACCAGTATGAATGTAGAAAGGAAGGATTGAGGGTGGAGAGAAATCTTCTCATGATCTCTAAATGACTGGCAAAGAACAAGGCAGTGACTGGGGCCACCTTGCTCAGTGACATGGGCACTGGTGCTCCTGGTATGAAAGCTGAACTGTTTTTGCATAGCTTTCATAAATACCTATTTTTTCCAGGCTTACTCAGTGATAGTTCTTGATTAAGGTGGATGAAGCAGTAACTGTTGTTAATTCGTTGATCAAATATTTACTGTGTGTCTATGTGATTCAAGGAACAGAATATAGGAAATTTCCTCATAAAGCTTTAATATAGTGGTAGGGGAAGACGGATAATAAGCAATTAAGGATATGCATTCATAAAGGGAAGCCTGGTGTGCCCCGAGTCCTTGTCGCTGAGAAGGCAGTGAGCTGTGGACTTGGAGGAAGAGCATGGAAGACCTCTTTGAGGAGATGCTGTTTGAACTGAGCTCTGAAAGCTGCCCTAGGAGCAGCTTCTGTCCATCTGAACGTTAGACACGTGGGGAAGCTAAGTCACTGGCAGCTAGTAGTAGAAATAATCCTCTCCACTGCCAAATTTTAATTTAAGTAGTAAGGGCAGGTTTTCATATTTTTAATAAATCCTTTACAGATAAATATCAGATTATGCACATACAGAAATGTATGTGTATGTACTACCTTTCTATTATTCTAATTATGACTTACTCCCCTGTAAAAAATTCAGCAGGTTTCAAAGAGTTCATTGTGTAAACAAAGTTTTACAGATGTGGGATACTTCACTTCCTTCTTTTTTGGATAATTGGTTATTGCGTAGGCTTTCCTGTGTCCTTACTTCGTCCCTGAATATTTTTGGAAAGTATGTGCTCATGGGTGTTTATGCCATTCAGTGTGTGGCAGAACTAAGTAAAATTCTCCTTCTGCCGTTTTGGATTTAACACATTTGGGTGTTGTCAGCCCCATCTAAGAGGTATTTTGAGATAGATTTGCTACATTAACTGGACATCACAAAAACATTACTCACAATGCAGAAACATTGTTGGTAATTATTTATGATAAGTCTTTACTCTGAGGTAAATAAAAGCTTTTTTAAAAAAGTACAATTCTAACAAGTTTGAACATCTGCCTCCTTTAAAAGTTTGACAGTATGTTTCACACTTTATCTTGGCTACCCTTGTCCCACTTAAATTAATAATTGATAATATTTTGAATGTATTTGGGTCCCCTAATTGATGCCTAATAAAAAGCTAGCTGTGGGAACGCATTGATCTTTGCAAACATTTCCCGGCTGCATGTATATCTCTAGAAAAAATGCTTTCACTTTCAAGATGATGCCACAAAAAGTGATTTCCAAGCCTTCTTATATGCCTGCTTAGAAAGTGATCACTATAACTTTTATTGTGTTGCTTTTTTTTTAGAAAAAGGGTAGTGCTGATGAACCAACCAAAGTATCACATTTTTATGGTTGACCTTTGAAAAGCATGGGGGTTATAGAATTTGTCACATTTAATTTAATTATATTTATGCACAGATCGAAGCATTAGATTATGATCGATTGGGGTGGACGGGGAGTTATCAGCACAAAGAAGCCCTAATCCCAAAGATCACCTTGTCAGGTGACCTGCAGAGCAGTGGCGTCACTGCAGGAAAGGGGAGGAAGGAGTTGAACCAAGGGCAGACACAAAGTTTCCAATGTCTCACTTGGATGAAAAACTCAGAAGTTTTAGTTTCAAGTGGAATTGGAGCTTTCAAAATTATGTCAGTATTGGGAAGCTGAATCTCGCTGTGTCGGCCTTGTTTATCTTTTCGTGTCTTTGTGCTGTGGCGATGTCACAACGCTGCACTCAACTGTGTAGCTTAGGCCTTTATTGGAAAGCTAGGTTCTGAATGCGTCTGGAAAATGCCAAACATTGACTTCATGCGAGTGCAAGTTGGGATACATTCTTTGAATTTAGGATTATGTGATGCCCCCACCTTTATATGGATTTTTTTTGAAAGTCTGAGACCTTTTTGCAGATCTAAGGGGAGTGGAGATGAGTAGAGATTCTGTGTTCTGTTGAATGTGGGTCATCTTCACGTTTCTGAGGTGGACAGGTTTGAACAGCAATGTGTCTGACCTTCCATGTGCATTCCTCTTACACTCACTCATTTTCAAGGGACAGAGACCTGTAGTCTAACCTTCCACCTTCAGGAAGACGGGATTGTCTTGTCTTATGAGACTGACGCGCTGCCTACTGCACTAAGAGGGCAACTTAGATTGTCTTGTTTTATAGATTAGAAGACTAGGGCCCGAGAAATAGTCATAATTAAATGGCAGGCAGTTTGAGATGCGGATAAAATCCCAGTTTCTTTAGCTCTTACCACTGTGCCTCTCCAATCACATGGTTTTCTTGATGGACGCTCACTCTGTGTAAAAGGGGAGAAGGAGACGGAGCATATATCTAGTTGCTTTTCTTGTTCTTTTCATGTCCCAGTACTGGCTCTGCTGCCCAGCTGTGAGCCCTGAGGAAAGTGATGCCAGGCGGTGGCCCAACTTTGATCACCCAAACCATAGCAATGACACTTTGAGTAGCAGAGGTATTGATGGTGTCCAGACGCTCCTGTCACCCGGGTCAGGAAGCCAGTATCTCTTTCCTTTAAGCTTCTGCAACTGCAATTTAAGATGAAAGGAGAACAGTGTCTTCAGAGTGCTGATAGGAAGTCAGACTATGTTCTGTTCCACATCCAGCCCTTTCTTCTCCCGAGAAGACTTAGAAGGGTGGATTAAGCTGCTGTCTGCTTTACACTGACACCACCCTGCGTTTGGGTAGTTAGACTCCCTCAGGACTTCTACTCAGGTTGTTTTTCAGCGCCATTTTTCTACAAGCATTTTTAAAAGACGCCTGATGTGTTCCTCACTGGTGATGCCAGCAGGGTTCAGCCTTGGACTGTAAGAGAAATTTGTGACATGCGATGACATCACCTCTTTCCAATGTGTGCAGTGCTGTTTTCTCCTTCCTTTCCTTTCCATCCCATCCCATCTGTTTCCTGTTTTTGTTTTTCTTTTTTAAGAATGTGCTGGTTCTCTACTTTAAAACATAATGAATTCTAACTGGAAACATTCAGAAGAGCACAGAGAGAAAAAAAATAACATAAACTGTCTCTCAGAAATTCTTAGTGTTGATGTGTATCCTTGAAGGGAATTTACACATATGCATATATTTTTAAAAATTGGAATAGACAATTTTATGTACCCTTTCCCCATTTAACATTGCATAATGAAAATCCTTTTATCATTAAATAATTTAATAAATATTTATCATTTTTATAAATTATTCATTTAACCTTCTTTTTGAACATTTAGATTATTTTCCTTTTAAAATGACGCAGTAAATATTTTCATATTGTTATTTCTTTAAGTTAAATTCCTCAAAATGAAATTGGTGGAACAAAAAAGAACATGTAATTTTAAGGATTTTAATAAATATCGTTAATTCGTCACTCAGGAAGATTTATCAATTTAGATTTCTACCATTAGTGGATTGTTCTCTGTTATTTCTTTCATTTCTCATTGTTAATGAGGTTGAACATTTTCCTCACATGCTTGTTGGCCATTTGCAGTTTATTTCCCCCACCCTGACTTCCTCATTTTCTTTTACCACCGCCTCCCTGGGATATTCAGCATTTAAGTATGAATTTTTTAAACTTTTGATGTATACAGCTAAATTACCTTCCAGAAATTTTCTACTGATTTATATTCCCAGCAACAGTTTATCTGTTTCATCAAGCCCTTTCTGACATTGAATGGCATTGTTTGTTTTAATTTTCATGAGGACACCTTTTAGTTACAGGAATTGCTCTGTGTCTGCTGCATGTTAATGCAGTGATTTTTACATATACAATTGCTTCATGTTAGATCCTAATAGACAATAACTGAAAGAGAGAGAGAGAGAGAGAGAGAGAGAGAGAGAGAGAGAGAGAGAGAGAATTGGAAGGGTGTATTGGAGACTGTGCCCATTAGTGTTTAAGACTGCTGGATTAGATGAAGTACACATAGAAAGGAAAGTGAAGAGAGAAATGGAGTACAAAAGAGGATGGGTGAGTAGAAAATCAGGCTACCATAACAGGGTACCACAGACTGGGTGGCTTAAACCACAGGAATTTATTTTCTCACAGTTCTGGTGTCTAGAAATCCGAGATCCAGGAGTGAGCAAGGGTTGGTTTCTTCTGAGGCTTCTCTCCTCAGCTAGTAGATGACCATCTGCCTCCTATCTTCACATTGTCTTCCCTGTATGTCTAAACGTCCTCATCTTATAATGACGCCGGTTGATATTGAATTCGGGGCCATCCTCATGACCTTGTTTTAACTTAATTACCTCTTTCAAGAGACTATCTCCAAATACAGTCAGATTCTGAGGTACTGGGGTTATAAATTTTGGAGATGGCATAAAGTTCAGCCCAACACAAATGAAAAAATTCAGTGCTTGTGGGCTGACAGACACAGCGAGGCCTCTAACATGGAAGGGATTGAGTTTCGGGAGCTTTAAGAATGGAGGGACTATCTAAGTGCCCAAGGAAGACATTTGAAAGAAGAAACTAGAACCATGGAAATGAAGCCATTGCCCAAAGTCATACAGCGAGTTAGTACAGAGATAGGACAGGAGCCCAGGACTTAGGATTTTTAATTCTCGGTTTTCTCATTGCACCTCGCTGCTTCAGGAAGCTTGGCTGTTCCCCCGAATCTTTCCTCCTCTGACTTCAACCCTTGTCAGTGATCTTGAGTCAAGAAATGCACTGCTACATGCCCTAAATCACTGTTGCTAAATTACACTCTACAGAAGCATTTTTTCCCCAGACATTCCCACCTAAAGGCACCTGTCCTCTCCCAGAAATTGCAGTCAAAGTAGCAGGTTCAATATCATTTTATGCCCACTCTGAAGCTACCACCTGCACTACTAGAAGAGCTGGGTTTATATATCAATACAATATGGAGCTAAGCCTCATTCTTGACTTATAATCTTCACTCTTTCTTCACCTCCAAATCCTCTCAAGAATCTCCCCATTCTGCCTCCATGCATACCTGTTTATGGTCACACATCAACTTATATTTTCTGCATTACATCGTATTTCTGTCTCTTTGTTATAAGCTTTAGAAGCTTCCAAGAGGTGAGGGACTGAGACTGAACAACTGGTTGGTCATCTCTCTACCTAGTGTTGTGTGTAGCCACCAACCAGTGTTGACCAGTGCAGAAGTTCAGCTCTTAATTTCCCCAAAATAATATGGCTTGTTTTAAGCTTTTTCTATCTATCCCTCTTTGATACAGAGAAATACTATATGGAGCTAGAACCACATAGTACTTAGTAAGCAAACACAGCAACTTAAGAAAGAAATAGAACCATCCATTTCTGTCAACATGGATGATAAGCTTATATTCATTGTCTAAGCATCCTCTCGCTTTAATCACATTGTTTCCAGGATACTGAATGGCTGGCTGGCCATGAACTCATGGAGATAGCTTATTATAGTGGGAGATGCTGAAGAAAAGAGTGGTTGTTTTGGTTGGCAGAGTTATAGTCTGATGACCTGGACCACCATTACTCAAGAATTTTCACCAAATTCTTGGAAGGCACTACCTAAGAAGTTCTGTGCCTGGGTTTCTTCGTCTGTTCAGTGGAGAAAAGATTTCTTTTTTATGCATGTTCTCTATACTGTTTATAACAACCTTAACACAGTACTTTGCTCATAGTAGGTGCTTAATAAATGGCAACAGAGACTGTGGTTGTCCTCTGTGGGGGATGCCCTTGTCAACTGTTATAAAAGACAACTTGATTCCATTTTATCTTCTATGGGCCATTGACTGGTCATTAACAAAGGATTAGTGAAAATCCATGCTCCCAATAAGAACAGATTAAATATTAATTGAGCACTAATTGAGTATAATAAATAACACAAAAGCATGTTAAGACTTTTGGGTATTTGGGTAAGGAAAGGACCTGGACAGAGCACATTATAGGTATATTTTAAATATTTAGATGTTTATGCAATATGTTCTGATTAAATTGATATAGAAAGCTGGTATATTTTTATATCTTATGCTTTGTAAATTACCATTTAGAATATTAATACCAGAAGTAGAAAAGTAACGGTACATGGTGACCTTTAAAAATGCATAGCTAATGGAATCACTGGTAGTTAAACACGAATAGATTGGATTATATGAAAGTGACACAAGAGGGCAGCTGTGTACTGTTTCTGAATATCTTTTGCCATAATATATTAGGCTAAACTTCAATATGTGAGTAATAGGTATGATAGGAAATCGTCTTTCATAAACTTCCTATATAGATGTAATAAAATTATTTTAGTTAGAGACGTTAGTTATAACACACAAATCCTTATTGGCAAATAAAGGTTGACAAGTAATGACACAATAACATCCTACTAATTAGCTATAGTTTCTACATTTACACAGAACATTTGACTGGTCTGTAGTGAGGTGGGAGAATGGATGGGGATGCTCATAAATCAAGGGATAGTCTGGTCCGCATGGAAAGCTCAAATGTTGGAATGAAACATATGTCCTATGCATCAGAGCTTAGCAATTCTGTGGGCTTAAACAGGAATGTCTCAAATCTTGTGTTTTCACATGAAATCTGGAAGATACTACTGGTTGTCATCCTTTGAACCCATAGCAAGCAAACATCCTGCATGATACCTGGATTCTCCTGCTAGAGCAGTGATGTGACCTCTGCGTATGCCTCATCTCAGGGGGGTGAGGGGTGGGGCAACACACAGGTCCTCGCCACTAGGATAATTTCCCCAAGCCAGGGATCCTGACAATGCCTAAAATGCTGCATGTCTGAATTACACCCAGTTTAAGGGGCTTGTACAGTTGCATGAGAGAAGGTGTACCTTGGCACAGGTGTAATTAATCTCCTGTGCTTCAACAAAAGTGACATTGATTTTGGAAGGATGCATCTGCTTTGTAAACGGGCAGCTACAAAACATATAGAGCCTTATCCACAGTGAGCACAGATAGATCATTGTTATTTCACTCATTTCAATAATGAGCTTCTATTAACTATCTACATGTAGTGAGATCCAGTTCATAATGGGTGCAAGGAACTCATGCAGGATTTTCTGACAAGAATTGAGTCAGTCATGGAGGAGGTGGGGTGAAGTATGCTGTAAACACCTTGGTCATGGGATGCAGTAAGTCTCCAGAGAGCATGTACTTGGGCCTTGGAGTCAGTAGATTGTGCTGCAGTGCATGCTGGTTTGACAAACTCATGAAAATACCAGGGGAGCCTGGGAGAAGACACCTGAGATACTGGTGCATAGCATGTGTAACTTCACGGTGAGAAAGCCAATAGAACCAGAGGTTTTTCAAGATAGCATCAGAGTAGATAGATATTACACGCATCTCGCCCCCAGGACCAAAGTGGGAATATAACTAAATTAAAGAACAATCACTTTAAATAACCAACTAAAGACAAACTGAAAAGGAATATTATAACCAAGGATTTACAGAAGAATCCACTTGAGACTGGTAGGAAGGGTGGAGAGCAGAAAAGGGCTGACCCCACTCCTACAGGCAGTGGCTGAGGCTCTGCTGTTGGGGGGGTTCCCCCTGAGAAGCATGGAGCCTAAATCTCAGGCCGGGCTCCCCAGCTCAGAGCACCAGAGATGGGCAGAGACACCCACATAACATCCAACTGGAAAAAAAAAACACAGGGTTTTTGCCCACTAAGGAAAGATGGAGTCTGGAGACACAGGCAACTCCTTAAAGGGCCAATTCACAAAATTTCCTTTGTAGTCACTCACCCTAAGCTCCAATGGCAGGAGGGCAAGAGTCACCTGAGAAGAATCTGGGGTTTGAGGCCCTGGGGAGGAGGCTATGAAATAGCCACCAGGAACCCTGTCCTGAGTAATTCTCTGACACTACAGTAGCCATCTTTCTTGGGAAGAGCATTCAGCTTTGAGCTACATCACCCTGGGGGAAAGTAATTATCCTACCTCTGGAATCCCTCTTGCCACACCCTGTGAACCTTAATCCCTGCTGAGGAGTCACTGGCATAGGCTGAGTTTAGATGTCTGGGCAGATTCAGCCGGGTTCAGTGACAGATTTTGGGATGGGGCCATCCCTCACACTTTCCTGTGAACTTGACTGGTCTTCACCCTCACAGGAGATCCTACTGAACTACCCTCCCAGCTTCTGGCAGACCCAATCTCTGGGCTTCAGAGGCCCCCACCTGTGTGACTATTATGGGCTCCACCCTGCTGAAGTCAGGGAAAAGGCTAGGATTCAGTCATTTGGCTTTGGGGCAGGGA